TTTTTCCCCCCCACCGCCCGCAATTGGAAGTCTCCTCGGTACTTTTCAGGCACGTAAAAGGCTTGTTCTGAGGTGCAAGGCATTTATCCTTGCCTTCCGGAGTTAGCCAGGATCTACTTCAGTTTCGCAGCGTTGCTCTGATGCTCCCTGAGCAGCGGTCGTGCTTCCCCCACCTCTCCAAGGAGGGGTGGGAGGCGGTTATAAGTGAGAATGGGAAAAAAGAAAAAGAAAAAAGTGTAATTATTGGTCAGAATAGGACTTTATGTAGCATACCTAGGCAAATTTGCAGAGTGAATAAGTACCTAGTATGTCTGCAGAATATGTAATCTCATTTTTCCATTTCAGGTCCATGCAAGGCAGGATCGCAGCACAAGCATTCAGTTTTGACCAGCAGTTTAAGCCCTATCAAAAGGATGAATTTGTTATGGTAGTTTTAAGTCCTTTTTATTTTAAGTTGACTTTTTTTCCATGAAATTATAGCTATTGGAAAACTGCATAATGGCAAACATTGTAGCAGTGTTAGCATGCCATTCGCCTGCTCACTGTCTCCTTGAAAGTAGGTGATTTAGGTGTGGTGCTCAAGTCTTACTTTGTGGGTTAACTGTATTGTCCAGTAAAAATATTTTAGTCTGTGCTAATGTTACTCTGTTTTAAGAGGGAACAATTTAGTCATTCAAGATTCCCAAGAATGGCAATCTGAATAGATGCTGATCTTGGCCACCACATTTAGTTAGGAAATTGACCCAGGGGAAGACTTTAAACAGTGTACATGCGGTTGGTACCCTTGCTTACAGCTATTACTGCTTTGTCACAGTAAATACACCATGCAATTAGATGTGCATGTGCACCATATATCTGAAAATACAAGATTTTAAAATTTCTTGGATGGAATCATAGAATGCTTTGTGTTGGAAGGGACCTTTAGAGGTCATCTAGCCCAACCCCCTGCAGTGAGCAGGGACAGCTTTAACCAGATCAGGTTGCTCAGAGCCCCGTCCAACCTCACCTTGAATGCCGCCAGGGATGGGGCCTCCACCACCTCTCTGGGCAACCTGTGCCAGTGCTTCACCACCCTCATTGTAAAAAATTTCTTCCTTATATCCAGTCTAGATCTATTCTTCTTTAGTTTAAATCCATTACTTCTTGTCCTGTCACAACAGGCCCTGCTAAAAAGACTGTCCCCATCTTTCCTGTAGGCCCCCTTTAAGTACTGGAAGGCTGCACTAAGGTCTCCCCGCAGCCTTCTCTTCTCCAGGCTGAACAATCCCAACTGTCTCAGCCTGTCCTCGTAGGAGAGGTGCTCCAGCCCTTGGATCACTTTTGTGGCCCTCCTCTGGATACCATTGCTTTATACTGGAAGTTTGGGCTCTCAGCTTTTTGAGACTCAAGTCTCTTGCTGATTACCATTCCTTTATGCTGGAATTTTGGGCTCTCAGCTTTTTGAGACTCAAGTCTCTTGCTGATTTTGTCCCCTCCAGTTTTGTTGTCTGCAAAGTCAAATCTGTTCATCTGTTTGCAGACAGAAAAGCATAACAACCTGTGGTTTTAAAAACAGTGTGGTTTTTACATCTGTTGTTTTAAAAACAACTCTTTGATTTGTTGCATGTCTACTTTATATTGTTATCCTGGATAAAGATTTCAGCCTTTTTGTATTTTAAAAAAATTCACACAGAAATACACCAATATTTCATCTCCCACTGATAAACATTTCAAATGATTGAATTTCACAAAATATGCTTTCCCTTCTCAATGCTTGTCTCTTTTGAATTAAAAATGTAAATATATCACTATGAAATGATGAACTCTGAGTAGCTGTGAATTAATTGAGAACAAAGGGACCATTACATTATATAGTCTGATCTCTCTGTATCCTGGAGAGGTGGTAAAGAGATTTGGTGACGCAGAGACTGAAAAATCTATCATTTTCTTAGCAGCTTCTTCAATGTTTATTCACTCTGCTTGTATGCATACACATAAGTGTGGGTTTTCTTAATTGGCTTATCTATCATTTAAACTTGTTAGCTACCAACATTACTATGCATGTCTCCTTTTTTTTAATTGATAAATCAATAAGATTGAGTACTTCAAATCTTACTGTGGAACATCTCTATCCCTTCAGTATCTTATGGATTTCTTCTGTAACTGTTCAATAATTTTTGTGTGTCTCTACACTTTCCAAGCTTCAAATTTATTTACAAAATGTAAATTTTGCAATCATACTTAGCATTTCATTTTTGACTTCAACAACACTGCATGCAGAGATAGAATTGTTTCATCTCTTCTTCCATTTTCTGTACCTCCAAGGATATCATACAACCTTTTTGTGTGTTCTTGGACTAAAAGTGCTTTACTGTAAAACCTTAATACTGCATCTATAAATAGGTACATGAAGCTGTCTTGAATATATAAAAAACACTGGCTACACAAAGTTACACAAACATGTATTTGGTGGTGTGATATTTAGTATCCAAACTGAAAGATCATACAGAATCTACTAATTGGATCCTTATAGTTTGCTTTGCAAGTATCCAAGGCACTATAAATGATCATTTTTTGTTTAATTTCATTAACTTGTATTCTCTTATTTGGATATTATAGGCATTTTTTAATGATCAAAATGTGAACTCCAGTTTAAAGTTGCTCTCGGCTTCAGGACAATGGACTACATTGGGTAAATTTAGAATAAATTAATCTTAAATAAAAAAGTCTGTTTGTAACTATTTTCCTCTACTTTACCTTTTTGTAATAATGACAGTTCATATATGTGTATCTTCACCTGGTATCTTAAAGAATCACTTCTTTTACTAAATAATAAGACAAGATTCTTACCTAGTTTGTTCATAAATTGTCACATTTTACACGTTTTTTTCCTTGACCCCTGCATCGATCCATAAACCAAGCTACTAGAAGTGTTTTTAAATGGTCTGTGACATCCAGGTGATCTGATCATGTATCCAGATATAATAAACTGCATTAATTGTGGAATTATAGTACTACCTTATACAGATAATATTTGGACAAAGACACGCTTCTGTAGATGCAACCACCTTACTTAGGACAGATCTGAGATTACTGTTCTGTTACAAATTAAAGTTGAGAGAGCAGAAGATTAGATAGAGCATGCCCCTGAGCTTGTGTAAATATGCTATCTGCACAACAAAAGTGATCTGGGCGCAGGAAGAGAGCCATGTGATAGGTTGCTCTAGTTGCAATCACGGCATAAGGCTGACTTCTAGTTTGTTGCCGTATCATTAACTGCTTATAACACTTGGTTATGTCTCTAGATGCAGATGAGACACTAAAGGAGAAAGACCAAAAGCAAATAGCACATGATTTTATGGCACCACTTTGAAATTGTGTTTTTGATTATGTAAATGACACACAAAATTTCATGGAAATTGCATGTGATAATGTGATGGGATTTTATGCATAATGTGACCTCTGATATCACCAAAGTGGTTTTCCTTAATAGGAATATTTTAAAAGGGGGTAGTGGGAAGCCCTCAGTTCTTTTGGTTTGTCTGTAAATATTTAATGGAGCTTTGGGAATTTTCTAACTTTTCCATTTCAACTCTCTGGAATTGGCATAGGTTTTCTCCACTATATACAATGACACTAGACATTGCCACCTTTTTGTCAGCAAAATCCATTTTCCAAACACTGTATCCGACTGTTAAAACAATTGAAATATATAAGATGCAAAAAATATCTCAACTCCCCCTTCAGGTACCTCTTTTTCACTCTGGTGAGCAGAAAGAAAATAAATATATTTCAAACTGTGGGTAAACCTTTTCCTGCTTTAGGCAAGAATTTTTTTAGGCTATCTGTCTAGCCTATGAATTGCCAGTCCCTGTAGTGAAGGTCAGTAGGTTACATACCTCGTGTTAAGAGCGGAGTGTCACTTGCCAAGTATCCCAGCTTAACTCCCGGTTCTGCTCAATCTTCCTCAGCACAGAAATAATGCATTTTGTTCTGAGGACTGGAAGGGTTCCCTTTCTAAATCCTGAACAGCTGGTACACCCTATTTGCTGTTAAAATTTCATCTTCCCATTCTTTGCCTATTTTTGGTGAGGAATGTTGTCACATTTTTCTATACTTAGTCTTCGTGTGCATTTTTTGAAAATATAGTAAGAATTAGCTTTGAGTGGGAGGAGGTAAAAAATCGTCTTCTAGTATTTTCTTCTTCGGACATGCTGGTATATTAATCCAGATATACCATTTATGTATCACTGTGGAGTAACTCTTTTAAAAACAAGTTCCTGTTCTTGAAAGAAAGTACAGGAAATGGGCTTATTTTGCTTTTTGGAAAATCTGAAGAAAATTACATAATCTAGGTTGATTCAAATACTGTATTTACTCTCTTGCAAACAAAAATGTTAGGGTATTTTTGCAAGGGGGAGATATTTTGGGTGCATAACACCAGTGGGGTTTAGATAGGTTCTTAGAAACCTCCCTTCTCCTCCCCACCACGAGCTTGGGCAGAAAGTATTTATGGAGCCACAGAAAGATGTGTCAGCATTATATAAATCATCAATATAATATTACTTTATGAGAGTGTTTGTTTTCATAATCCTTTTGTCTTTTTCCAGGCTGTGGCCCCCTTTTACCTTCTCATTAAGAATTTATTTTTCTTTTTAATTCAGTGGGCATGGTTTCACTTTCATATTTATCTTCACCACTTCTCTGTTAGTTGTCTATCTCCTTTTCCTAAAATCTGTTTCTAAAAGTTCTTTATTACTTTTTTTCCCCTGTGTCTAATCTCATTTTTTATTTCTCTTGATTGCTTTTCATCCTCACCAATATCATCAGACTGTAATATCCTCAGTCTCCAACTGTTAGATCAAAAGGTGGCATAAAACATGGGGTCCCCAAGGGATGCAATTTGTACCTCTCTTCTCAGCTCCCCAAGTGTTGGGATTCCTGGTAGAATCCCACAATAGTACATCGTCTCAAGGACTCCAGCTTGAACATTACTTGAAATACAACATTTTAGGTAAACAATACACAAGGATATTCTCTAGTCTGCTTCATCGGATCATACAGATACTTAATTACCTATTCTCACACCACACTTTTTTGCCTGTTGTAGTAGGGATGTTTTTTCCCCTCTTCCTGGCTGTATGGCAGAGGACCTGATAGTTCTCTCATGTGCTTTAAACCCCCCCTTCATCTGTTACTCTCATATTTCTAAAATAGAAGCCACAAAAAGAACAAATTTGATGCATACCAACTTATGTCTTGAGTCTTGTATTTTTAAATAGCTGCAATGAAAACTAAATAGTAGTATTTCTTTGGACACATTACTGGCCTTGCACCTGTCAGCAGTCTTGGGGAGGCAGGACTATATCTGCTTAAGCTCAATTAACACTTGAAAAGTTATCTTCAGAGGGATAGGGTTACTGTCTTTTGGTGTAAATAAAAATTTAGTATTTGCCTAAGAAAGATTCTTGAGTTGCTGTATGTAGTTGAAGCTCTAATGATTGCTGTCTTTGGAATAGGGTTTTAAAATCTGGAAGGTATTCTTAAATCAGCAATTTTTTAGACTACTGTTATAGGTTATCAACTGCAAAAATTTTAGGTGTCATTTGAACCTATAAATCATCAGCGTGTACCTTTTACTTTTGAAATACCATCTTTTTAGTAGAGAGCACTGAACTTGCATTATGTATGTTCTATATAAACTCTTTTGTAAATAGTAAGTTGCAAGATGTTTCCCTGAGGTAAAAATCTTTCTTAAACTTTGGAGGAATTCTAAATATACCTAATCTGGGTTTTATCTGGCCCATACTAGATATGTAACGTGTTCATTTAAAAGTGTATTGGCAGCACTTTATAGATATTCCAGCGCTCGCTGTTATAATAAGCTTAATCTGCTTCAGTACTTCTCAGCTCTTTGTTTTCCAGTTGCAGAGTTGTCAATCTACTTCTTCCTATTTCATTGCTCACTTTTACAGTGTTATTAAAACTGGTCACTCTTTTCCAGGCAATTCTGAATCTCCAGTCTCACCTCTCAAATGGAGAATAGGAGCTTCCAGCATATTTAAACCTTCCCATTTATAGTTTGGTTTTCTGAACTACTGAATAGATTACAAAACTCTTGATTTTTTTTTCCTGATGAAAGTTTTCATAAAATCTTGTTTCAGAGCAGAAGTGTGTCTCCTTGCCTCCCCCTCCCCTAATAAAATCCTAACAATTTGAAGGCCTATTGAGCTCAATAACTGAGAAAATGTAAGATGTCTTTTTTTTTCTCAAGTCATTTAATATCTGATTTTTATTAGTCTTGACTCAGTTTTTGATTCAGAGGTCTTTACAAAAAAATTTCTATGTTAGAGGCTGAATTAGCTCTTATTAAATCTCTTATAAAGTAAAAATTCTATCCCTGTGAAAGAAAGCTGGAGAATTAGAAGTTAGAGGAGTCTGGAGGTGAGGGGGTGCAAGGAAGCACAAATAAGTAAATAAATAAATAAATAAATATTTGGTTTTTTCCTTAGGTTGTGAGGCTGTAAGACATGTTTTTTCCTGACTTGTGATTTTGGTTACATAATTTGATTATTTTTTGACAGTCACTATGTGGACAGGTAGGAGAATGTCGTAAACTTTTTTCTTTAACAAAAGATACCCTTTTTCATAACCGTATCTGTAGATGTGACGCCAAGCAATTAAATGCCGAGCTTTTCTTTATAGCCAAATCTCTTTACATCACATTGGCTGTCCTGGTTTCAGCTGGGATAGAGTTAATTTTCTT